GGCCACAGCCCACCTTTATCAAGGCAAATAACAATCACCAAAACACCTTTAAATACCTCACCAAATGGGAATCCCCCATTAGGGACATCATCACCATCACAACCACTTTAAAACAGTTACAAAGTCAGACATCAGACACCAGTAACCAATAACAACATCCCAATTGATGAGGGTATACCAGAACATAAAAGATCAATACATTGCGGCAACTTGTACAAAAATACATTGGTGTACTAATAAGTGTATGAGAAAGCAACAGATATATAAAAACACCAACCATTAAAGTGATCTGATGCCGCAATGGAAACATTACACATAATGATACTACACCAGAGCATGATAAATCAATACAACCCTGCATGTTGTACAAAAAGACATCAGTGTACTAGTAAAGGTAACAGATGTATGAAACAGCAACCATTAGAGCAGGGGTGCCCACAAGGTCGATCGCGATCTACCAGTCGATCGCGTAGCGATCAGTGGTAGATCGCCATGTCCTCTCCTCCCGCCGCTTCTCTGGATCCCCGCTGCTCTCCCCAGCGGGGATCCGAGAAGACGTGAAGGAACCGGCGGCGGGGGAGGGCGGAGGACGGAGACTCTGTCACTATAATGCAGAGCAGTGAGGAGAGAGAGAGACGCTCGGCCAGGATCTGACAGCCGGCGCCTCTCTCTCCCCTCACTGCTCGTCCGTTCTGTCACAGCGACAATTTCCTTCCTTGTGAGGAAGGAAAAGAAGTTGTATTAGAGAACAGAATCCTCACAGTATAAAATAGGAAGTTCAGGTGCAGGGATCCAGAAACAAGAGTCTGAACCCTGCATGGTATAGTTTTTACACTATGAGACTGCTAACGCTAGGAAAACAGACTTCAATTGTGATGGGTAAAATTTTAGAATGCTTCTAGAAAGAAGTGTCATGCTGCACACTAAACTGAAGTGTAAGAGGAGTCAGTGTTAAGACTGGATAGGATCGGAATTTTCCCCTCCACTCATACGGCTCATACGGCTAGATAGAAAAGGTTTTTAGATGAAGGAGAGTGGAGGGGAAAATCCCCATCCTATCCAGAAAACCCATCCTATCCAGATGGGAAAATTCCCATCCTATCCAGAAACCAGCATAAAAACTAGATCTGTTAGATCAAGGACTATTAATTGTGCATAGTCCAAAATCCAGAGTCTGCAACTCAGGATAAGGAACAAACAAGTACTGGCTAAGAAACAAACAAGTACTGAGGGACAGTATGAAAGAGAATTATCTCAACGGAATTCCCATAAATCTCAAAACCCATATGGCGAGAATGGGATATTATTCTCAAGAGAAGAGATACCTTAAAGGAGAACTATGTGGTTAGCGCTTTTCCCCATAGTTCTCCGAAGGGTAACGGGAGGACACAAACTAGCGTCCTCCAGTTACCCAAAGCTCAGTATACTGAGACGCCGCAGCTGAAACGGATCCCGACACTTATGTCTGGATCCACCCAGCTGCGTGAGTGACAGCTGGCTCTGCCTATCTAGAGTTAGAGCCAGCTGTACCCGCCCCCTCCCCCGTCCGTTCCGCCAGTCGGCTCTGGAGGATCAGACAGGGGAGGGGAGAATCCAGTCACTCCCCTGTCACGGCTCTCTGCAGTGACAGGATCGAGAAGTGAGCGAGCGCCGGTATGTGTTCGCTCACTTCCCGATCTACTGAGCCGGCCTGTGACAGTTTCATTGTCACAGGTCGGCTCAGATTATGAGGCTGAGTGAAAATCACTCACCTCATAATTCTCCTTTAAGTATAACAGGAAACTTTTATAACTAGGACACTGAAACAACTCAGTCAGAATCTTAGAAGCATTAGACGATAAGGACGCTAGGAGCACTACTGCAGATGTAATAGTCAGTGTTGTGACAGAGACCCAAATCCTCATGAATCTCAAGTCAGGTGATGTCTATTGAGCATCGAGGTCCAGAAGTCCCTCATGAGAGAAATAGTAGGAGGACATGGGAAAAGGTCACCTAATATAACAGGACATAATGCACCTATAGGTTGTTGCGGTAAACAGCTAGGTCAAAATAGAGGTAAGGCCTTGCTTATTCACAAACCAGAACGGAGAGTGAGGTTTAAGTGGCCAGAGAGGACAGCGCCACTTTAAAAAGGCAGTGAATCAGGCTGGAGAATCCATGTGGTGCTTCTAGAAAGGAGCAGAAGCACAGCTTTTATTCTCCAGAAAAACAGGAAAGAAGGTGAGGAGCATGCATGACAGTGCACTATGCTGCAAATGATCTTAGCGCTGAGGTCACACAGGCCTGGTTGATTACCTCAGGAAAAAAAAGGCAGACGTTTTAAAAATGAAGCCTCCATGAAGCGTAAGAGAGCCATGAGGCTATTCCTGCAGTTCTTGCATTACAACTCAGCTCAATAAATGAGTGAAAGGGACAGGGTCACATTCCAAAATAGAGCCACTGTTCTAGGCCTGGATAGGAGGCTGTAATGTACTATGTCGGTACTTAAATGGTATCCAGTTAATAAAGGTCACATATGAAAATGTGTTAACCATAACAGTCATTTAGTGGTAGAGTCAGTGTTTAGAGAATGGGACACTTTGTCAGGACTCTGGGATTGGAATTAGTGCTCTGCCACAAACAGGCACAGCACAAGTACTGGAAGATACCATGGCAGAGTTAAATATCCAAAGGAGACATACATTTGTATCAGACCATGCAAGTTATTGTAAGAGACTTGGTATACCGGAGGTGGTACCTCTGCGCCAAAAAATGAAAGCGCTCTTTTGGCTAATGGGCTCAGAACACACCCCTCTTGGAAACACTACAATGTAGAGGATAGCATCCAAACGTAACATACTAGGATGCCTTCAATATTGCCTAAGGGTACTTTTTACAGGAAAATATCAGTGGCTAGATTAAACCGAAGGTTGTACCATTGCTCTAAAATGTAGGTAGTGCTCTGCGACTAACTCACCAGTATACAGAGGCCCATTGTGCCCAATGCATACCTTATATCAGAGATTTCACTTACCAATATATCTGCTTCAGAGACCTAGACCACTGTTTTAAAACTGGAGAGTGCTTGGCGATTTATTGACACAGTACCCACAGGTATGTAATGTGCCATAATGCAGAGCCCAGTGACCGTAGGTCATATTCCAGTATATCTTTGCTCTGTCCATGAGTGTGTCTTCAGGGACTGGTTCACACCAAAAGCTGTGAACTGGCTCTGGACCTGTATGCTGCCTTGTGGCTACCAAACCCGTACAATAGGTGTCTGGGAAACTGGGCAAGCAGGGCCCAGTGCACAAGAGTCACATTACAGGCAGGCCCCACAATCCTGTGGTCCAGCTGGGTCTGGGTGGAGCCTCCAAGTAAGTGCCAAGGATTAGCCAATCTTGATAGTTGCTGTAGCTGTATAGACCGGCTCAAGCAACTTAATATAGGTCTTGGTTGAAAAGAAAAACATCTATGAAGTACCATGTACCAATAGTAAAAACATACTGTAGCTAGAGTTATTGTCAGGAAAGCTGAGGCGTAAGCGTCCAACCTCCTATGCACTAGCAAAAAAACCCTGAAGCATCGTGGTAAGGGGTGGGGTTTTCTGTGTGTCCAGTGTCCACCTGAAGGCAGCTGAATAACCCACATGTCTATGAATCGCTAAAGCCCTGTGTCCCTTAATAGATGATAAAGAAAAACATTTAGCTTTCCTGCTTCACTTCATGAATCTCCCTATTTCCTCCTAATAAACCTCCAGATCCCCTAAAACAAATTTGTATTAATCCATGGTCTCTTGTCATGAATACCCCATCCTAGTAAATCCTTTCAATCATACTTTCTCCTCACAAACATTAGTGCCTACTATCTACTTTTATCCTGGCAAACCACTTCCCTTTTGCACACCCCAGATCTTGGCTATGGTTGTTGTCCCATTTATTCCTATGGCTGAGCCATACCCTATTGATTCCTATGGATAACTGGAGGCTGCAATGAGTATGGCTTACTCTTATAAGTGAATAGGTTGTGGCAGACATACGCAGTAAAGACCTGGTAGGTTATTATCACTGCAAAGGCTATGCAGCACCAGCAGGGCCTCACAATGAAGATTGCTGGAACAGGAGGGAAAGTTAGTATTTTACCAGACTGGCTACAGTCAGGGGGAGACGATTGATTAAAGAAAATTTGTACAAAAAAATAAATTTGTCCTTTATGTTTTTCCTTATATTAGGGAACAATCTACAATTTCAAGATAGCGTTGGAGCTTGCAGTTCTGCCCCCTCACATTCCAACTGACACATTAATATTACAAGCTGCCTTACTGGCCAATTGGAATGCGCTGAAGGTATAAAGGAGGAAGGGGGGTGGGAGGGGTTGCAGCTCTATGAGGAACTATGCCTGTAAAAATTACCCCTGAATGGGCTGTATTTGCAGGCTTTTAAGGCTAGTCCCGGTAACTGCAGGAACCTCTAGGTGCCTGTACTTTGTTTCATTTTTGTGTTAGAGACAGAGTTTTTAAGTTAGGCTTACATAATAGAGTAAGAAAAAAGGAATACCATTCCATTATTATAAGAAGCACTGACCTTCCTCAATCTGTCTGGTTTGATTCTGTACCATTTCCGGAGTGCTATTGAATGCAGCATATCCCTAAAGATGAAGAAAAACACACATTTTATAAAGTTTATCGTGCTTATCTTTATTATTGAGTCATACACAGGTCAATGCCTATACCAATAGAGTTGAAAGTTCAACATTTATAATGACATTGAATTACCCAGTGGGAAATTGCTTTGCATCTGCTATAAGGTCTAAGTATTTCTATTGCCCTCAACTATAAGTGAGCAAGTATTGATCAGCTGCTGGGCTTCTGATGCTTTTACATCTCGATCCATAGGAAGTTTGCTCCATAGGAACACTTCCGTGTTGAGTCTACACTGGCAGTGTAGTGACATCACAAGTAATGATACAGCTACAGCTCACTATATACGGAGGGTGCCACAGTCGGGATGGATCCCAACAATACTGTTGAGATCCACCCAGCTGGCTGATTGACAGCAGGCTGCCTATCTAGAAGCAGAGTCAGCTGTCCCGACCCCTCCCCCATCCATTCCTCCAGTCATTGCTGGAGGATGGGAGAGGGGGGGGCTGAATCCCTGCGGGGAGCGGTGACTGGAAGTCACCACTCTCTGCAGGGAGATGATCGGAAAGTGAGCGAGTGTGTTCGTTTACTTCCCGATCAATAGAGCCGATGGGTGACAGTTTAATTGACACACATCGGCTCTAACTATGAGGATGAATGAAAATCACTCACCTCATAGTTCTCCTTTAATACCCCAAAAAGTTCATCTTTATAGAGCCATCAGATAAAATAGTAAAAAGTTACAACTAGGATACACTCACACCTCTGCATATTGGTGTGAATTATTAATTAAATCCTGTGGCTTCCAGCAAAATACATTCTAGGGGGATTAAGGGGCCAAAGGAACCATATAAAATGTAAAGTCCTATGGTTGTCCTGTCTGGCTTCACTAAGCCAAAAATTGTTTTGCATCTTCAGTAGATAAATCCTAACAATTGCTATCTTTCCCCAACTTCAGTTCTCCAACTTAATCCCCTAACTTCCCCTACCAACAGCAAAGGGAGAAGCTGATTGTATTCCTTGACTAAAGCACAGACAGTACATATTTCAGACATTTTCACGCATTTGGCCTATAGTTGCTGCTGATGACTGAGGCACTAAGAGAGATGTGGTGATCATAAGCAGAGATAGCAAACAATATATTATTTCGCCCTCTCTTTTGTTAACTTCAATCAAAATAGTAATTAAGAGCTTTCAGAACATGAAAAATCTATTTACCTTTTGCACCAAAATGCTGAGGTCAGTTTTGAGAACATGGTTTAATTTTCCAAGATGGATGCTTACATCTGGTAACTGGAGAGCAAATGAAGATTGTGTTATTGTAATGCAATTGGGACATTTATGAATGGAACTTCAGTGATGTAACAGAAGTGCCTTGACTACAATCAGGCCCCTTCATTTCCATGGAGTTTCCAGACAGTCCCACTAACAACATGAAAAATATAATATAACTTTCCATACATCTGTATGTTTCTTACCGCACTGAAATTTGCATTGACTTGCAGCTTTGAGAGGGAATTCTTGATTTTGTTGCAAGGAATTATAGCGACGTCAGTGAAACATGCTGGGTCACTCAGTGTGCTGTCCAGCTGTATCTTAGCATCTGTAAGGTTTGCATTTAGCCTGTTCATTACTTCCTGGAGCACTTCCACTGACACACTGACCTTCTCCAAAGCTTCTTTAGTCTCCTTGATTGCTGGGAAGTTAAATAGCCATATCAGAGTTAGACCTTAGATAAAGATGGTTCTGCAAGAATAGGCTGACTATGTTGGCCACAGCAACCATTCACCGTCCAGCTGTCATTGGTTCACTACAGGTTTACCAAAAGAACAACCTCATCAGTTGCTGCAGTTAGCACTGTTTAATTTACTTTTAAGCTACAGGATGGTATCTTTTTACCCTTGGTTTAAGATGCGAGAGGAAAATTTTGTGTAGGTCAAAGTAACTGCATGGAACATCTTTAAAGGGTAACTGTATGGAAAAACCTAGCACTCCTTCAAGGCCTTGATTCTTATTTTAAATGCATAAGACGAATTGTTAGGTGTTTAAATCTTACACAGAGCCTATGATATGAATACACCCACCTCCTATCTTTTCTAGCTCTTCTATTAGTTATTGTTATTTAAACTAAGAGGGTTAATCACAAAAGGGTGAAGAGTTTGGAGAATTAAGGCAGGAGAAGGGAACAATCTAGGACAACATAGTTGATTTGGACAAATAATCCAATTCAGCTCACTTTCCATTTCAGCTATGTTGTCCTAGATTGTTCACTTCTCCTGCCTTCTCCAAACTAGGACAACATAGCTGAACTGGAAAGTGAGCTGAATTGGAGAATTTTTCCAAGTGTTTGACCAGACGGTGAACCCTTCTCAGGCTGGATAATGGGGAAAACAGAAGCAGGGATGGCATGTAACTATTAAAGAGTTTAGGAGGATCTTCTCCATCCCAACATTGAGCTACCGCAATCACTAATGTACATCATCAACAGGGACGTCCCTTTAATGAGACAGCCTGAAGCTATTGCCACAGGCTGCGTCACACAGGGGGGGAGGGAGTGGGCGTCAGGCAGCATGGCATGTTTGCAGTGGGAGAGGTGCCTGCCTCCCCTTACAGCTCAGAATGTCCCAGGTTGCTAAGAGCCAGACAGGAAGATGTGTAAGAGGCATACACATCTCTCCGTGCAGCTCTTAGCAACCCGGGATGCTCTTGCTGGCGTTCCATCGAGCTCCTGCAAGCAGTGAGGTCACCACTCTTTATTTATCCCACATTTGGATGTAGTGGTTTCTTAGAAAACTACATCAAAGACAAACTTGTTAGATTTGTATCACATTTTATATAGATCATTCACTTAAGCGCAGTGGCCACTTTCCCCGCCACCCTAGGTGGCAAAAAGGCTAGGGATGCCCCTGATAATCAAAACCCAAATTTACCACCAGAAAAATGATGCCCCATGTAAAAACAGCCAGAAAGATTCTGCAATCATTGCTGAATACAGCTGTTAAGAGTACAGCAGTATAGACTACACTGAGTGGCCAGATTATTATGACCACCTGACGTTTGTAGGCAAATTAGCTTTAATTAGCTATAATTTTGCGCTGAAGTTGCTAGAGGGCCAGACCATTATAAATAGGGAAGCAGGTTGTTTACCACGACAGTAGAAGTGTTTTTTTTCTGAAGATATGGGTAAACAACGCGATTTAACAGCCTTTGAACGTGGCATGATTGTTGCCGCTCAGAGCCACGGAGCGAGTATCAGCAAAACAGCAGAATTCATTAAATGTTCAAGAGCAGCTGTTGTTAAAGTGTTTAAAGACTGGACTGTCAGCCGAAAATCTGGGTCTGAATGTGCAAATTGTGCAAATTGTGTCAGCGACTAGTCAATGTTAGGGTAGAACGGAGAGTGGCAAGACAGGTACAAGACAACAGAAGGGCAACAGTGCAGTGTCAGATTCCTCGCATCACCTTTCAACATCTCGTGGAGTCACGAGGCGGCCCAATGAAGTCATCTCATTGAGTCATCTCGTGGCCCAACGAAGTACTGATGGGGTGGTCATAATAATCTGGCCACTCAGTGTATATGGGTGCTGCCATTGTTGACCCTCTGAAAAATTCCTAAGTGCTTCTTTTCTCAATACTTTCTGAATCACTGACCCCGAACAAGCATATAACAAGCATATAATAAGCATATAATAAGCATAACAAGTGAACTAACAATCCTCATTCTTGTTCTTAGTCAATGATTGAAAAATAATCATTGAATTTTGCGTGACAGGCAACTAGCACTTTGTAGGAGAAGGTCAGCAAAGGCAGCCGACATATTTCCCTCAACGTGTTTTGTTGAAGAAAAACGAAGAAAAAAAATGATGCCCTTTCGATACAATACTCTAGAAAATATGCTTTTTCTATTTCCCTACATGCTGTATATGTAATTATTAGCAATGAATTGAAGTCCTTGTATAATAAGGATGGTGAACAGTAGAGGGACAGTGATAGAGTAATTCTCTCAGCAGACACTTTGTCACATCTCTTCTGCTTTACCGCGATGATCAGAGTTTCCTCTTCATTTAATTCAGGACAGTCACATGCATCATCTTTATCTCCCCATTGTGGAATAAGAGAGTCTATAGTATAATTTATTGCTGGCTCAAAGACGCAGCGGTTATTGCTTGTAAAGTGAATCAATCTCATCAGACAAATACAGAAGACTAAGTGCTTCCTTCATAATTAAACTTGTAGAAGTGTCAGTCATATTCTTGTAAGAGCACTGTAATCTTTAATAACACTGTTAAATATGAGGCACAATGTTTAGAGCGCACTCCTGTAGGTCAGACACAACTCTGCAGATTAACTACTGGTGGTGTGCGAAACTCCTCATAATAGGGGGAGGGACCCTGTGCACCAATAAAAAACAAACAAACAGACTCTTCTTGGAGGAGCGCTACTACCTGGAATAACTTTTATGGGCAATGCTTGTATCAAATAAGAGCATAGAAACGGCCCACCGTGCACCTCCACCCCCCTTTTAGCCCTCAGCGATTTTTTTTGCCAGCGAGACCATCGGACACCTCGAGACAGCAGCCTTACAGCATTGCCAGTATATACGGCATCGGGCGCTCCAGCACTGTTCGCGGCTTCTCGCTCTCTCCCTCACATTCCCCCTATCCCAGCCATCGCGGCCCGGCCTGGCCAGCCGAGTACGTGAGCGGCTCCAATATTGCAGATATGTTCTAAGACCAGCTCAACATTTGACAACTTGAGGGATTTAGCCATTCAGCCCAGCCCCTTTTTCAGCCACTCACCTCTCATCTGCCAGATAGAAGGACCTGACCATCACATCCTGAAGTGAAGATTTGGGCAGAGTCTCCCATATTCTAACTGTAAGTCTACATCCTTTCCATTCTAGAAGATTGTTTCTATGCTCTTACTTGATACAAGCATTGCCCATAAAAGTTATTCCAGGTAGTAGCGCTCCTCCAAGAAGAGACTGTTAAATATGAATAACTGATTATAACATTTCTATTCAGGCCCGGAGAGCGGTAGAGCGGTACTCCTTGCTTTAAATGCTGGCAAACAAAACTGTTGCTGAGTTTCTAATTTTGGTTTATAAAAAGGGACTTCCTAAATACAAAATCCATTCTGCTAATGTGCTGCCATTGAAGTCTCCCTGTGCTATATGCTGTTTTAGTATAACACTGAAACTTGCATTGAATGACCTATACTAAAATAATCTGTGACCCCTGTTTTGTGACCCTGAAATTGCATATCTAATAGTGCAGTGCGTGAAATACATTATAAGCATGTTGTGTTCATTACTTCTGTCCTGACTCATCTTTCTTCATTTTAGCAGTAAGTATGGAGTCTCCCATAAAATGGAAAAATAAAGAAAAATGACTGATAATTGGCTGTAGGCTATTTTCAGGTGTCAGGGAACCTTTGCCATTCCTTAATGAATATCTAGATGTAGACACACAGTACATGTTCCTGGAATTTTGCTTTAAGACCTTCAGTAACCCTAATGTAAAACATCTAAAAGGTTGCTGCTGCAGCCATATTATAATTATGGTCACCGTAAGAATCCTCAAAGTTCTACCAGAGTTTCCCAAAGTTCCTACACAAATACTTTTTGAAAGACAGGCCCGGAACAGCAGATGGAGGAGTCTGTGTAAGGCCTACATGACAGGGGTTTGGAAGGGCAAAAGGGGTCCTGCGAGGGTTAATTTGTCCCTAGCAAAAAGGAAGGTTACGATAGGACACTTACCTGATTGGTCGGGATGCGGAAAGGAAGAGTGTAGGTTGATCCCTCTCGAAAGAAAGTTCCAGATCCAGATGGATTCAGCAGGTTTGGTTTGTGGTATTTGCTTTTGTTCCATATTTGCATTGTCTGACTGAATTTTGTTTCGTTCTATTGTTAATGTCGCTGCAGCTGGGCAGGGTATTGGGGTCCTTGAGGAGCAATCTATGCAGCTGATGTTTAAAGGAGAACTATGAGGCGAGTGCTTTTCACTCACCTCATAGTTCTAGCCGGCCTGTGACAATGAGACTGTCATAGGTCGGCTCAGTAGATCGGGAGGTGAGCGAACACATACCGGCGTTCGCTCACCTCTCGATCCTGTCACGGCTCTCTGTCATGACAGGGGAGGGGCTGGATTCCCCCCTCCCCGCTCTGATCCGCCAGCGCTGACTGGCGGAACGGATGGGGGAGGAGGCGTGTACAGCTGGCTCTGCCTCTAGATAGGCAGAGCCAGCTGTCAGTCACGCAGCTGGGCGGATCGAGACATAATTGCCAAGATCTGCTTCAGCTGCGGCGCCTCAGTATACCGCGGGCAGCAGCTCGCGGTATGCTGAGCCTAGGGTGACAGGGGTATGCTAGTTTGTGTCCTCCCCTTACCCTAAGGAGAACTATGGGGAAAAGCCTTAACCCCATAGTTCTCCTTTAATTAAGAGCGTGGATCTGTCTCAGGTATGGCATCCCTTTGTTTATGGGTCAGATCGTTAGTCATCTAGTGTCTGCTGTTATACTGCAAGTAGGCAGATACTGGTTGGTTTGATTTGGAATGACCTTCAAGGACCTCAATTCCAATTGTCAGTTATTTTTTAAAAGATTTGTTATATGGCTTTATACTTAATCAATTGGCTGCTGTGGCCACTAAAATCCAATGCCAGTGTTGTGTCAATTAATCAGAAGGGGGATTGAAA